TCACTATACTGGTCTTCTGCCACGAAGATGGAGCAACAGATTCTCACGAAACACTTGCGATCATCTACCAAACTACAAGTCCAAGTCACATTGCGACTGACGGTCAGTCAGTCGGTAAGTCTTGGTGTCGAGCTCCATGTGGGGCTCATGACCAGATGTTTATTAGTGTTTGGCATTTACGGTCGTGATTTTGTGGGGCGCCCTCTCTGACGAGAGGTCGGGTCTACCTTTTGTTTATGCTGCTGGCCCTTGCCAGTGCAGCCTTTCTCGGGTCTCAATCCCTTGGGACTCAAGACCATGTTTTACCGTCTCACATTTGAGACTTCCCTTTTTGTCGCCTCTTACGACTCGCAGGGTCACGGTGGAGGTATCCGACCCCGCCTCCACACGGGCGCCAAACTACATGTCGCCACATCCCAACTTTATTTCAGTTCCTTCATTAGAATCAGCCCAGTTACAATTCACATTTTTTATGGTATTTTTTTTTTCGGTGACATTTTAATGTTCTCGTCCTGTTTATGTCAACATTTGCAAGTAGTTTTCTTCGTCCAAAATTTGGTATGTATTTCTTGTTTCCCTCTTATACACAGGATCGTCCATCCCGTTCATTTATTTAATCGCCCTAAGAATACTAAGCGAAGACTGCAAATTGTGATACTGTTTGTAGGTTTCGTACTTTCGCCAGTTATTTCGTTTGTCGTCGGGCAAAACTTTTTCATTTTCATGCAGAAATTTAATTGAACATTTTCATAAATATTTGGACGTCTGGCCCCTTGATACTTCTTACCTGTAGTCCGGTGTTGAGCGACAGCAGTCTGGTGTCGCGGCTAATGAATTACGCACTTATGGTGCGGACATTAATGCTCTCTGGCCTGTCGCATTCCAACCCTCGAGCCTTGTGGTCGTCTCTATACCTATTTATTGCTTTCTTTTTTGTCTTTGGAGCATTTGTTATTGTCAAGGGTGCGAGAGGGAAGACGTGAGAAGGTGGTGTAACGTTAGGACTGATGTTGGACTTGTTTTTGCTCACGAATTGATAAGCCAGTGGCCCCCCAAGAAACATAAGTTAGGGAAATACTTTCGTAAGTGTAGGTTTTTAGATACGAAGTAACTTAGCTGTGCTTAACCCTCTTCATGTCGTTATATAAAAGAGATTATTCACCCAGAAACAGCCACTCCTGCTATGAATAACGCCGCTGTTTAACGGTGTCAGTGAAAGTATACTCCTCTGCGTTTTTAGTTAGTTATTTGAGGCGTTTAATCAGTGTAAGTCTGAATGAATACTATACAGACCAGAGAATGGTTGACGTGTGTCTCTTTTCTGAGTATTTGCATAGCTGTTATATGTCTTTTTCATACCGTAGTAGCTTTGACGTACTTGTGGTCTAGTTGTCAGTTCCTGGCTACAGATCCAGAGATCCCGGGTTCTATTCCCACCGCTACCAAATTTTCTGAGAAGTAGTGGGTCTGGAACGGGGTCCACTCAGCCTCGTGAGGATAATTGAGGAGCTGTTTCAAGGTAATGGCGACTCCGGTCTAGAAAACCGAGATTAACGGCCGTGGCGATTCGTTGCGCTTACCACGCGACACCCTCTATCCTCAGAAGTTGGTACTACTCCGACAAGCTGCGGTCGCTCGGTCGGTATAGTTCGCTTGCGGACTACAGCCACGGAGTTTTTTTTAACACATGATATCGAAACTGTGCCGTCTGACTGATGAAGATGTAACTTCAGTCGCTGTTTTAGACGGAGGGATAAGGAAACCAGGTAAGCACGTGGAAGGAACAAAAGAAATGAAGAAAATGAGTGAATGATGGAGATACCAAAGAAGTTATCTGCCTATTGAACTTATACGGGGTTTCCCCCTCGTATTTATATAAAAGGAGTTCTCTTGCACATGCGCACGGAGAGCGAAGTGGACGTTCTTACCTTCTGTGCCAGATGGCGGTGACTGCTCAGCACCCTGCCATCAGGAAGAGACAGCCTCTCCCCATTTGAAGCTGGAGGGGTCTGGACGTGGTGGCGTAAATATGAAACCCCCGTGTGTTGGAAATGGAGCACCGGGCGCACAGCCCATACCCGGCTTTTTCTTTACTTTTACCCACTTTGTAAATGGCTTTCGGTTTAAGTTAGCACGTAAATAAATAATAATTTATTTGAAACATCGAATTAGCCCGACATTATTATTTGTTTACTTGTCTGCATTAATGGGTTTTCCCTCCAGTGCTTGCCTGTGATTTGTCTTTGACTTTATGTTATAATTGTCCATAATGTAATTACTTCAATCTACGCTGTGCTCTGTCTGTAATTGGCCTTGGGCTGTTGTCTCGGCACATAAATAATAAGGAATTGAACTTAATTGAATTTGCTGCTATTGTGAAACTGTGTGTCCGTCTTTGAGAACAGTTTCGTTTGGTGGCCCATGTGTTTTTTCTGTCGCCTGGAATTTTTCAAACATAGTGCCCAGTATTCGCCATATTTGTAAGTTTAAACACTCAGAGATGGCTTATGGAGATATTACACAACACCTCAGCGTACCACCAATTTACTGCTTCGTTGTGCTTGAATTCTTCCTCTGGTCAAATTCCGTAGGGTGAATCGAATGTTTGGACACATCCTAAGGTCATAAATTTCGAATTGTAGTAGGCAACAAGAGGCCGGACACGTAAGGTTGGAGTTGCTGATGGTAAGACAAATTCTAAGCCAGAATTACTGGGTTCTTGGACTTTGTCTATCGTCCAGCAGGTTAACTTTTTCTAAGGGACCCAACAGAATAGGTGTTCCCTCCTCGCCTGAGGATGGAGACAGATCGAGTTTCCGAAACGTTATGTTCACTACTTTTAAGGATGGTGGACGATGTTAAAGACCGCCGTCGGAACCCTTTAGAATGCACAAATTCTAAGGTTACACATTTCGAATTGTAATACATAACAAGAGGACGGACACCTAAGGATAATATTAGTAAACGTTACACTCTGCATATTTAAAATGCATTTTAACCTGCATTTCGTGAATAGCGTGAATTAGGCACATCAAGCGGATCGCCGTTCTTGATTAGGATAAGCTCTGTGGTTGTTTCAGCTGTGCATAGTTTGATACTGTTTGTATCAGCTCCATTATCTGGTACAGTGAGTACATATAACTTTCCAATAGTGAGCCCGTATGTTTTGTTGTCGTTTAGTAGAATACTCGTAAATACCACGGGAACTCTGTAGCGTAGTTGGTTGAGGCACTATGCTACAAGCCGGAAGGTCGCGGTTTCGAGTCCCGATGAGATGGATTTCTTTTTTCAATTTACCTAAGTCTTCCAGCCGCACTATGGCCCTGGGATCGACTCAGCCTCTAACAGAAATGAGTACCAGGAATCTTCCTGGGGAGTAAAGCGCGGCAGGCGCGTAAGGCTGACAACCTTACCTCCATCTCTGAGCTGATTGTGTAGACAAAATGTGGAAGCCTCGACATCTCACAACTGTATGGGCTTTCACGGCCTGTTACAGGGATAGCTTTACTTTTACTCGTAGATCCCTGTTAATCGTCCTAAAATTGAGGTTGAAACCATTGTGTTCCTTTTAGAAGTAATGGAAATCCATGAGATACAGCAAGTTAGAGGCTTGTTTGATAGTTCTGCAGTAGTTCGAGGACGAATTGTTGGGCAGGGTGGCGAGAGCCAGTCGTGTCGCGGTCTCCAGTGTTTCTGCAGACCTGGCTGTAACTGTGACGTAACATTTGCGTTTTGTCCCGTGCCCATTTGAGGGGCCAGTTTTCTGCCATTAATTGTGACGCATGGAGAATGGTTGGCAATTCACGACGGAGGAAGACGCGGGTGGCTTGAAGTCAAAGAAACAGGAAGTTGTGAGCGGAGACATTGCCATCTGCAGGAAAACGGAATCCGCAGGCAACTGCGTAACGGGGTTGTTCCTTTCTGAATGCTGCCTGTTTCTAGCGTCTAATTTTAGAGTTTTGGTTACTTCACTTCCCCGTGTGGCTTCTTCTTATTTACAGCGCATCTCAGTTCCAGCAGGAATTAGGATTATGTTTAGGGATGCCCAAAACCTTTTAATTTGCACGGACAGTCTTGAAGACGTTTGCACCTTCAGGACTGGCCCAGGAATTAAATCGTTAACCGTTGCATGGCGACATAAATCATATAACAGTTTATACACGAATCCCATTTTTGGGTTATATTATTTTGTATGTTCCTAAACTAGAACTGCTTACATTTCTCTGTTAGGTAGGCGTCACTCACAAACCGTTTTAACCTTGTGTTGACCCCCCCCCNAAGTAAGTACTCCCGCACATAAAAGGTAAAGCGGTCCCTGTACGTAACTAATTAAGCACTACGTCATGAAGGCGTATGGGGGAGTGGATGTGACCTCGGCTGTAGCTGGAGGCGAGTGGCCAGCTTCACGCTCTGGCCGCGTTGCCCCCGGATAACCCCCGATACCCATTGGATAGGAGGGTGAGTGGGCCCCACGGCTGGTATGGACAACATGGAGAAGAGATAACTCTTGACCCCAGTAGGACTCGAACTCCAGCCAGTAGCCACTCACTATACCGAGTATGGAGTGGTATGTGAAATTTAAATTTCTGTTGGCACTCATTGGGATGCCATAGTGTCTTGTGAGTGCTGCGCTGTGCTTTATAATTTTACCTTGACCTTTTGTAAACAGATTAAAAGTGCAGTTGCCTTTGTGGTTAATTAAGTACAATGCAGTGAGGACTGGAGGTATAACTCCATGCAGTCTTATCCTTGACACTAGATGGAGGTTGGTTGGACTGGAGAGCCAGCCTGGACATTGCAAGAAAGGGAAGAATTTTGTAATTGCTGGGAATCAAATTTTAGTAGTCTGTTTACTGTGGAAACTAGTAAAAGGGGGAACCCATACAAATTATCATTATTATCAAATAGGAGTACAGAATTGCTACGATACATCATATTAGAAATAATCCGGTTGAACCCAAATCTGATTTGTAGGTAACTGATAAACTTAAATGTTGCAGGATCTCGAGTTCCATGGGGTCATGCGGTTTTATTTCCAAGATTCCGGCCAGAAGGTTGCCACCAAGTGTATCCGTGTCGCGTCTGATGCCACGTCGCAGGCCGTCATTGAGACACTGATTGAGAAGTTCCGTGCAGACATGAGAATGCTCTCGTTACCTGAATATGCCCTTTATGAGATCCATGAAAATGGAGGTAAGTAACAGACTTCTGTCACAGATCTAGCTGAGATTCGTGTTTTTCATTCTTGCATCTACACCCAACTATTTTTACAGTTCTCTTTCTGTATTATATTTTGTATGTCTGTGGGTTGGGTCATGTGAGGACCTGTTTATAATTGGTCAGTTAATTAATAGTTATTATAGTATACTGGAATGATAGGAAGTGTAGTTTGCTACCAGAATTGGGAAAGTGCAGTCTGAAGCAAGGAAATTGTATTCAGGCGTTGTGGGCAAGATACCAGCATACAGAGATGTTGAAACTAAGATAGAAATCATAAGGCCACGAACAGAATTATGGCAATTTACAGTAGAGGCAGACGTAACACGGGAACAACTATCTAAAGAATACATAGAGATTTTAAGCTTCATTTTCCGCATTGAGGCTAAAATATAGTGTTTTTAATGGATGAAATAAAATTATCTGGCTCAAGTAGTTAATGAATCAGGTATTCAGTCATTAATTGTTTTTTAATTTGAAATTTTTGAAGTGAAGGCTTACGCAGGGCTGTATTAATGTTCACCTCCCAATTTCCAAGCTTCAGACTCTTTGAATCCTCAGTGTCACATTCTAATATCTGTTGTGGGAAGCACTAATTTTCAATCGAAGGCTCGTACTGTCAGATTCCATATCCTGTTATCCAGAACACTTTCTGCAGCAATCAGCATTAGTTTTATTCTGTCAGTGCATGTTCAAAACAAAATGCCTTCATATTATGATACGCGAGTCTCTTTATAGATGAGCGACGACTGGGTATGGACGAGAAGCCGCTGTTGGTACAGCTTAACTGGCACATGGACGATCGAGAGGGCAGATTCCTGCTGAGGCGTATAGACGATAAAACCAATGTAAGCAAGGCAGCCTACTTACTTACATGGTGTCACTATCCTAATGTTTGTTGCGTGCCTGTCGCTCCTCTGTAAGCAAGATGCTAATGGCATGTTGGTATGTAGAGGAGATCTCTTAGTGAAGTTGATATGCAGCAAATGGTATCACTGGTGAGTTGCATGTGACTGCATGTAGGATTGTGAGGAGAGGAGATTATAGTACTCGTAATTTGATATCAGTGATAACATGGACTGATCTGTACTAAAAGTGCCCATGACTGCGCATCATACCAGTGTTGCAGTGTTACAGTTGTAAACTGAAATTGAGTAGTGTCAATAAAATGGTATTTATGCCTCTTGTTTCCTCAGTCCTGTTCTAACAGTTTCTGTATGCAAAGATACTTTTCTAGTACATTGTTAGCACTTTTGCAACCATTGTTTTCCTGCTTTGTGTTCAAATATAAGAAGCGTGTAACCATGACCCATGGACACTGCAGTCTTGTCATAAAATCAGAAATGTCTTGACATTTTAAGGATGTAATATGATGTCCAAAATATGTAAAACATATTAAGTCACATGTTTGTAACAGCTGGACATAGTATGACTGCAGATGTTCTATTTGAAATTCATGGTATTACATGTCAGATGAATGCAACCGTAAATAATATTCTTCTAGTGACCTTGTGAAAATCAAGTCCATGGCTAAAAGGAATTTGTCAGAGAAAATTTGCTATAAAATTTGGAAAGGGCTTTTATATTTCTGGCCATGAGTGTTTCTTCTTCTTATGATGAGCTATAAATAGTAGTATTTCAATTCAGTCTCAGCATTAGCACATATCTATAGGTTTGCTGACTTTGTGCTGCTTCATGTAACTTGTTTCATTGTCACTTCTTGTCTTGTTTGCATTTATGATATTGAAGTGGTGCACAGTCATGCCATAGGCTGACATAATTTTCATGAAAACTGAAAGTATTGTGACATGACGCCTGAAAGTCGGAATAGTGGAGCCAGAATTATCCTGTTAAATTTAAATGTAATTCTTGTGGTGGGTGTATGGTCATTCCTCATGTAGGAAGGGTTTGGCAGATACCTGTCTTGTGCAACATAGGGTAAGTTTTGATTGTCTGTATGGTAAAATTATTCATGTGCAGATCCTGCGTGTGACTTTTTGTGTGAGAACATTTTTGTCAAGTAGTGTAACATGCACTTCACAAACTTGAAATAACTTTTCTTTCTCTTTTTATATTATATTAGTTTGCTCGGAGCATAAACGTAGCAGTGCTGCTGAAAAAGAAAAGTGTTAGAAAGGAATGAATTGATGTGCTTGATAAACTAGAGTGTGATGAGAAGGCATTTTTATATCAGTGACTCTCTGTTAGAATTGTGAAATGTAGTCAGGCAGCCACTAGGGCCAGTGTGGAAGCTAGTGCACTGAACTGCACCTGTGTATTCCTCTAAGAACGAGCATTGCCAGTAGCCATACAGTATTAAGTACTAGTACACAATATACTTTCTTTGTTATGACCATGTTTCACTAATTTCTGATGTTTTGTTGTCTATAAAGTAGGTGTAAGTAAAAACCAGTTCTTATAGTATATCTGTAGGCACCATATTAGTCTTTTTGCAGCTTTAAGCTTTTGGAGAAGTATGTTTCTGATACCTTTACTCCTTATTTCCCAAATGTCCAAGCCCTCGAACTGCATGGTTTGGTATAAATGGTATAATTCAAGAATACGACCCTGATGTTAAGCAAGGGATTACTGTGCATTTATAAACGATTTCAGTCAATACTGACTTTGTTTCTTGCTGTTAATATTTTGATTAAAAGTGAGACTTCCTTATGTTCTTCAGGTACCCGCAGTTGGGTTTCAAGATGGGGGCTCCAGCTTCAGACGGAAGTTATCAAAACGTGAGAAGAAGCAGCTGAAGAAACAGGAGAAGCTCAACAAACTTAAAATGAATGCCCCAACAAACAGCGAAAATGACGGTGGTGTTGCAGGGAAACTGTACACAGGTACATGCTTATTTCCTGCAAGCAACAAACTCCATTGAGCAGAGTCGCTCTTGAGAAGCTAGTAGTCTCTCAGCTGGCCGAGAAATTTGCTTCATTTATGAAACCCAAAGGTTCATTACTGTGTTTCTGAGAACCTGCCACTGGGGCATGTCCTGAGCCAGATTAATCCAGATCTAAAATGTAACTGTCTAAGAGGAAACAAAAATCCTGTGGGTGTTACACTTAGTGTTTTTGCCTCGGTCCGGTCCGATGTGTTGTGCAGACGTTCACTACAGACAATATTCAATCTTCATCTGAGGGGAGGGGGGGCCACTGGTCTGCTCGGTCAGGGTGCCTGTACTGAAAGGCCAATCCAAATTCTTGTTCCTGTTGCCCTGCAGCGCTAAGGGGGTTACACACAGACAGATAAGAGGATAACCTAAAGTAGGCTAAGATGAAATCTTAATTTATATGTTGCTTGTTGTGAGTTTCAAGATGTTTGTGTTATACATATTTGTATTTGTATTTGTAGGTCGTTGTCATCATTAGTCTAGTGATGAGATCTGTTCTTTATTCATCTGTGTTACCCTTCATTACCAGTAATCTTTTCAGATTTTCTCAGTATTTATGTAATATTTTATTCACTGGTGGCATTTACCTTCAGAAGAGTGGGGTCATCCCCCAGCGTAATCTGGAAATAGATTTTCCTCTGTTCTTAATAAAACAGATTTTTTATGGCTATTGTGAACTTGTCTTTTACCTCTCCCTTTTCTCCCCCTCCCCACCTACGCCATTCTCTCAGCGTGTGGTCATTGCTGTAACCAAACTGGCTTTTTACTTCCCATATGTGCAAAGTTGGGGGTGTTGATCCATGAGACAAACTCAAAAGTAATAGAATGTTATCTGGGGTGGTTATTGTTCAGTTATGTCATCACTTGCTGCCTGTGAGTTTGAATGTAGAGTGCCACAGGCACAATCTGCCTTTGTGTTTTTGAGGGTTGAAACCTGTAGATAAAAGCTTGGGCACCTTAATGATAATGCGCAGTTAATTGCTTTTTTTAATAAAATGAAGGGAACTGTAAAACAGTGGTACATGTTGTGGGCCATGAACACCTTGAGCTGAGATTTTTGTAACACAAATGTTCTAAAGTAGGTAGTTTCTTAATAAAGGTAAAACTTCAGTTACCAGGAACTCTATGAAATACTGACGAATAGCCCTGCATATTGCTTATGTCAATGTGGGTTCTGAATCACTGCATACTTTCTCTCTATTGGATGAAGTTGTTACAGAAGTAATAAATTGCTTGTGGTCTAAACCAAAATTAAAAATGAAGCAGTTAGGGCCACATCATCCTGCAAATTCTTATTGTGTAAATAGAGCAGTGAATGAACACCGTGAAAACAAGGGCCAAGAAATTCTCAGATGTATGGAAGAAAAGTGTTTCCCACTAAAAGTAAGAACTAAGTGAACTTTGACATTCACTTTAGAATGTAGTAAGATCCAGGCTATCTGAACAGAGAGACATGTGTGAAACACTAATGACCAGCAGTTGAGTTATCCTCCACTCCCCCATACGCCTCCATGTTGTAGTGCTTAATGAGTTAACCACAGGGACAACTTACCTTTTACCGCCAGGTAATATTCTTGTGCTGCCACTGATTCCGTGCATAACTTTTCTGCTGTGGCGATATCCTGTTTAGAACCTTTCAGCCGTATGTCTTGTTTCCGATACCTATCAAAAATGCCTTATTTGTAGAATAAAGCATCGTCATTTTGTTGAACTTTTACACTGATGAGGGAATATTGATTGATGGTAGAAAATGAAATGAAGAAAGGAATATTTGAATTTACAAAGAAAGGTCTGATAGGATAATTGATAAAGGTATTTAATACAGTAATTAAGTCAGATGTTTAAAGATAGTTGATAAACTAATACATGTGACGATAATGATGACTCTATCCAAATCTTTATGAAACACATTCATTCATTCATTCATTCATTCATTCTTTATTTTTCCATATATATATATATATATCCGTACAGGTTAACAAACCAGGATGTGGAAGTAGTCCTTCTGAATACAGATACATCAACATGCATACGCAAAATTGCATGAGTCAATCAAACAAAGACACTTACATCAATCTATAAATATAGATAATAATATTATAGGGCAAAAGAATTTAATAAGATTTCATTTAATAGACATACTTAAAAAATAACCTGCTATAAAACTTGTATTTACACCGTTTCATATAAAATACCCATTTAACTAAAACAAATACAGTCAAAAATTACACACCTATGACCCATTATGTTTATAACATCAGCATCATAATTAACTCCATAAATCCATACAGTATATGCTTGAACACATTTAAAACTGTTAAAATTCTAATTTCTATATTCAACAGAGATATGAATTGGAGGTGCGTGCTTCAGTGGAAGAGTGACATTGAAGTACAGGGAGTGTCTCCTATTGTGAGAGTGTTCGTAAATTGTGAACCTTTAAGATATATTTGTGCAGAACTTTACTGATAATCCAATTTCAACTGATGGGTTTGAATTACAAGAAAAGTATTATTGGAAACTGAACATACTTCTCATATTTTCAGAACTTCCAGAGACCAGTTTCACACGCTCCATTTCAAATCCTGAAGCCGTCATGCGACGCCGTAGACAGCAGAAACTTGAGAGGAAGCTTCAACAGTTCCGTAGCAAAGATGGAGGGCCAGACACAGGAGGCACGTTAAAGATCTATGGGGAGTCTCTTTGTCCTGATGTTCCATACAAAACATTGCTCTTATCTGTGCGTGATACAGCACAGCAAGTTGTGAAAGAAATGCTCACAAAATATGGGCTGGATAGAGAAATTGACCCCCACAACTACTGCCTTGTGCAGGTAAGAATCTGCATGTACTGTGTTTCTTGTTGCTGGAGGTGATATATTCACATAACAGCTGTGGTTACCTCTTTCTTATAGCAGTGAATCCTCATGCATTTCTTGTGATACTGGGATAACTGCCTTTCCTTCATGACTTCAGATATTGTGACATGATGGCTGAAAGCTGGAACAGTAGAATGAATAGAGGCGGTCAGTGCTAGGCAGCGGCACAGTAAACACGATTGTGCCGCAAGAGATACTGACAGCAACAGAGGATGTGGTTTTCTATGTGGCCTGCAAAATGGCTATGTAACCACCAGCAGCAGCAGTAGTCAGTCAGTCATGGGTTGCAAGTGAACAGTGGCATTTCATGGTTGGCTGTGAGGAATTTTTGTTGTTAGCAGCTGCTACCTAGCAAGGGCTTGGCAAATGGGAGACTTTGTATTTGGTGTAGTTTTAGTTATTTTTACAGCATGTAAATTAGTGAGGGTGTTGTAGTCATTTGTAGGTAAGAGTTATAAGCACCAATAAATCCAGTTACCAATACAGACCTCATGTCTTGTCACTAACAAATGACAATATAAATGATTCAAATTCATTTTGGAGATGGCTGAGGGACATATTTGTATGTATTCATGACATTGCTGTTAAATGCCTGATTGCATGGCTGTATGATGTTTATGTTTTACTGTTCATTGCTTTTGAACAGAAAGTTTCTCTTAAAAATTGAATGCATTGGGAATAATTTTGCTTGTACTGGTTGTGAAACTTGTTCTCTTACCACAATGAAGACTATAGATTAGAGTGGAGAAAATGTAATGAGGAGCTTTGTAATATAAATAGGGTGAACAGGTTGAGGATGACATTAATGGGACATGTAGCATGCGGGAGAGAGGGGAAGTGCATACAAAATATTATTCAGGAAATTGAGAAGAAGAGTCCATGAAAATGATATGTGTATAAATGGGAGGATAATATTAAAATGGATCTGAGATAAATGGGGTGTTTTGGACGTGGGGTGGGTTAATCCATTGATTACCAAACTGCACAATAGAACTCCCTGATAGAAATTTGAAGGTTGCTTTGGGACAAATACAGTTGTACAGTAAAACTGACTCTGTTCCTTGATTAAACTAGTTAGGAATTTCATCTTTACTGTATCAGTACATGGTTCAAATTAAGTCTGATGTGTGAATTTCTTCTTAATATTGTGTGGTACATAAAGTGTGTACGAAGAATTTATTTGTTGTATGATCTGGTTTTGTTTTTAATAAAACTGATTAGAAATCTGAGCCAAATAAAGTAGTTCTTTTCGGTTGCATTCAAAGGTAAATGTTCTGTGATACTGAATATTTTTTCCTACTTTTGTTTTGTGTTATAATAATATTTCAGTATATGTCTTTCTAGAATTTATGTTTATATATTGCTCCATTTTTAAGGGACCTGCTGCTAAGGCTTGTTGGATGGTGAACATTTCTTAAGCAGGAACCTAAATTCAGATTTCTGTGACCCTCACACTCTTTGATTTATTGCTTAAGGCAGATTTTATATTTTTTAATTAGCAAGGGTATGAGAGTACAGCTTGCCAGATTATAATTTTATGCGTGACGAGGTGACAAAAAATTTGACTGGTTAATATTGAAGAAGAGATGAGTTGTTTGAGAAGTGTGCATAATTTTCATTCCTTGCCCTGTAATTTATAGCCACGATTGGCATTGTAACTTATTTTGAAATGTTTGACAAACTTTTTTAGACTGCTGCTTATTATTGCTGATGTGATATAAGGTGATGAGAACTGCTTAACTGTACAAATTACAGTCACAGGTTATTTTTGTAATAGCTCCTCTTTGTCTGCTCCCAGTTTCCTAGAAGCCTCATATATTTACTGAATGAAAATCAAGGAAGTTAAGAAGAAATGTAATGAAGGACAACAGCAAGCCCACTCTCTCCAAAAGAAGCAGCTGCTCCTAGGCAGGAAAGGAGGTGGATTGGTTGTTTAGATTGACCTCTGACAGTGTTATGTTGTAGTATGTTGTCCTGAAAGTGTTCACAATTCTCAAAATGTACGAGATACACCACTAGGCGATCTTGCAGATGAAGCAAAGAAAGTGAACCGCATTGCAGTAACAGACAATGTCCAACAACTCTCAGCGGACTGCCTGTTACGGCTCTGTTCTGTGCCACACGAGTGACATATGCAGTAATACAGAGTCAGCGAACGCTGGCTGGAGATAAATGAGAGCATAGCATCTGGGCGTTCATGTGTCCGTGCATGCGGTTAACTCTGTATTTCCAGTTCTCTAAAGAGATGTTAGGAACTAATTGTAAAGTAAGTGGGTGTGTTTAACCCAGTGTTCTTTTGTGTTCAGTGTGTAAAGGAAAGTAGTTCATAAATACGTGAAATAGAGTTATTTTTTTTTGCAGAGCCAAACTAGGCACTTACCTTGATATAATTATGTTGTGACAGTTTTAATAAAGAAATTGAAATATAGTTAATTAACCAAGTTAATAAACAACTATTTTTCTTAGCCAGAGTGGATCATTTACAAAATCACTAGTTCCAATACTGTTGTTATTAAATGCAATGACATGGTGTCAACTGTAGTACTGTTGCAAGTTATGCTTTTTCATTTTACCGAGTACTTTGAAACAAACTGAGCACTTCAACAGTCCATTGCATTCAGTAACCGTACATGGCTTCCATGTATTTGTTTACTTGTACTGTATTTAATGACTGTCAGGAACTTTGACTGTACAGCATCACATGATCTGATGACAGTGAATAATGAATGGGAGGGGTATTGAAGAAAGTGGTCATGACCAAGTTTAAAGTACTATCCCAACTTTTGTTTGGAATAGTACTTGAGAAGTATGACATGCCTCAGGCTGGATAATCAAGTGCCTCAGCAATGGAGAATGTGGAAGTCTCACACAGGAAACGGAATACATGTCTTATCTGAAAAAAATGAGTATATTACATGGGGAACATCCACATTTGACTGACTGGAACATTCTTAAGAAGTTTTCTGGGGGGAACAAGCAGTTCATACTGGCTGTGTAGTGAAATGTCCTCAAAGTAAAAATATTTATATTGTATTTTAATAGCTAAATGTTGTATAAATACCGTTGAAATTATTATAATTGAATATTAATTGGCAAGAAAAATTTGTCGAACAGTTTACATTGTATTCCTGTTTTGCAGCTCCATTGTTGCTTCCTGTGTACGCTAAATAATGAAGCCATGCAATGAGTTACTTGTGTCACTAATAAACTGATAAATCTGACATTCATTAATGCTCCAGCAACAGTTGATCTGTTGACATGCAAACTGATGCAGCATGACTTGAATCCGTGAATCCGTTCAGTTATTCTCTCATCAAATTATTGTGTATGTCCTTCCTCTCTGTGTGAAAGAGTGTCATATAAATTGCATGACCCTACATTCTAGTTTATGCTTATATGCCTATATTCAGTTATTCTCAGACATGCCATCCTTCAGCGTTAGAAGGAAAATTGAGCTACTTTTCCTGAAGATAATGTTATTTGAACTTCAGGTAAATACAGCAGTACCAGCCGATAACGGGGAGAGTAAAGAATACCATGGAGGAACAAATAACCGTGAATACATACTGGATGATGATGAGTGCCCTCTTGCAATTCTCATGAACCACCCTTCATCACGTGGTGAGTCAAAATTATTTATTTGTTAATAGGGAAACATGTTTGAAGTGATCATATCAACATCTGTGACTGTAGTCATGACTGTAACAAGTGCAGTCTCTCAACTTCGGCAAAGACTTGAATGGTTCTAGCTAATTCTGTTTTGCTTTCTCTCTCTTCAGTGGTAATGTTATAACTGACACAGACCTCACATTGTAGGATGGTATTTGTAACCTGTATTAAACAGAAACCAGTGTATTTCAGAAAATTTCTGCAGTACCAGGAATGTTGAAATGAAAGCCGGAGTAAAACTACAGTATCTGATTTGTTTCATTCTGATCCGTCACACTTAAAATATCATGAAAAGGTAAACAGTTCCGTCTAGTGTGACTGGTGAAGATTTTTCTTATTTCACTTATATATGTCCTCACGTGTAACCATCATCAGAGGGACACTTTTACGTCAATACAGTTGAAAGTTACTATTACAATACATGTTCTGAATGTTAAAATAATACATATAATATTAATAATATACAATTGGGTATAAAATCTAAAGTCTTTACAACAACAGCGGCTGTTCCAATACATTAAAATATTTGTAATTGGTTTGTTAATATTTCATTGGAATTTATGAACCAAATAGGTTTGTGTCGTCCCTCTTATTATTTCTCTTTTTCCCTCCGTCAAGACGACACGAACCTACTTGGTTTGATGACACATGATGATGGCCGGTTGGGGTCAAAACATGTCATGAAAGGGAAAGTGAAAAGAATAAAAACAGTTGCATTGTTGATGGAACTGTACTTATTGTGTGTAAGAGTTACAGTAATGCAACAGGATGCTTAAATAAAATATTTACATATCTTTTACTGTGATGAAGTAACTGTGACTGATAGTTCATACCTGGAGATATTACAGATATTTGTATTGCAATATTGCAAGAAACACCCAGTCTCTTTCAGGGTGGAGTATCTGCACACTTTCAAGGAAACATGAGACCATGTTTAAACAAAACCTCCCCAGCGAATAGTGTTGGTAGGGAAGATCCCACAACATAGTCTTATCTATTTCCTTGATCTAACTCTTGTGTATTTATTTTTCTCTGATATTAAGAGACAAGAGATATGAAGTAAATGAAACCACATGTTGGAAGTACTCGTGTGTATTCAGAGTTTGAGCACATATAGATTGAGTAAACGAATCGTGGCATACCTGCAGACGATAACATTTGGAAGTGTGGGGATTAGCGTAAACTGTTTTGCATGTATTTTAATCCCAGTAGATTCATTATAGATCAGTCAGTATAGTGCCTGGCTCCAGGCTGGATGGCTGAGGAGTCAGGGTTTGATTTCAGACAGTGGCAAGATGTCTTCCTATTCTTCCCTGAGCTCGGGGACACTGGAACTCACCCAGCCCCTCACCCAGTGGATCACAGGGGCTCTCTGCTCCCTCGTATATCTTCTTAGTATAGCGTTTAAGCATAAATAATAAGTTACTTTGGAATGCTGTGTTTGTAGTCAGGTTTCTCATGTACAGTTGAAGAACTGTCAGAACCATGCATCACGTTGACCTTCCTCTTACAAAGTCAAACCTCGTTTTGAATAGCAAGGATTTGCTTGGGGTAGGGCATGAGAGGACAAGTCAGGGCATATGCAGGCTGAAGGGCTCTCAGGGATTGGATCCGTAAGTGGTAAGAGTGGTAGGAAGTAATGAAAGGGGTTGCAGCTGCCTCTTATCATTGATGAAAAGAGTACTCTCAGTTGTTAACTTTGGAACACATTCTTGTGTACACAGAATAGAAGAGAGCATATGTCACAGTTCATGCACGAAACACTGAGTTCGGACGTAGTTGGAACAGTAATATGTGCCACATGTAGAATTGTTTTATAGTCAGGTTGATTTAATGCATTTGTCATGTGTGGAGCAGCTGCATACAAACTCTGCATTCTCTCAGTGAGCGCCACCTAAGTGCTTCCTGCAGAAGCAGAAGTATTTTAACACTTCCTTGGTTCCCAACCCAGGTTCCAAAAGGATTGGTTCATGGGGCCCTTCACCAATTATTCAATGTACACATACTTTAATACGACAAACTAATCATGTTTTGAAACATGTTTGATTAGAGTCGGTATGATGACAGGCTGGATGTCTCGGGTTCGATTCCCTTCCTGTCTCTCGCTTCATGGCCCAACAGCCTTTGGACCTTGGCCACTTTTCCCCCCAGATTCTTAATCCTGTACACAGTGGATAGGACTTTCTTGGATGGGGGATCAGCTCCCTGCATGGCCGCTACCTGCACGCAGGACAACACAGAATAAACACACACACAGACATCCGTGCCTCGGTTGGGATTCGAACTCACAATTCAAGTGTCTTAGCTGGCGAAGAAGGTTCATGCCTTAGACCGCACTGCCGCTGTGATAGGTAGGTTCGATTCCCGGCAGTGAAAAAATTGTTCTTCTCTCCACAGCATCCAGTCCAGCTCTGGGGCTCACCCAACGAGGGTCGTGAAGTTGACCACTCACCTGCAGCTAGTGATGAGGTCAGGAATGGTGAAGCTTTACCTCCACTCCCCCATATGTCTTCATGACATAGTGCTTAACTAATTAAACACAAGGAAAACTTTACCTCATACTGAGGTTTGGATGCCAGGCGTCCACCTCTCACTTAGCCTTTTCCTTTTATACGCGTGGATCGATACACATTTAGGTAAAATGAAGTAAACGTTTTAAGAGGACAGCCGAGTGGGCCTCAAGCCAGCTTCACATTTGGGAGGCCCCATAACTGGCTGTCTCTACTGGTCTTCATGGTTTGTTTCCCATCCTCCAGGTGGAACTTACAGTGCCACATTCCATGAAGGCGCAATATGACTAAAGCGTCGAGTGAATAGCGAAGTGGGAAGGATGTGGAAGGGAGAGTCGTGGCCTATTTAAGGTACTATCCCGGCATTTGTTTGCAGGAACTGAGGAACTGCGTCTAAAACGTCTGTCAGGATATGTGAACGGGATGTAAGTTGACAATAGTATGAGCCGTCGAAACGTTCACTGCTGTCAGTCAGTACGGTGTAGTTAGAATGAAACAGGGCCAATTGCCAGTTAGTGCAAACACCGATCATACCGCCCCTGGCCCTTGCAGCTACTACTCTGACATTTTCCAAGATGGCTATACCCTCTACAAATTATGTTTTCCATGAACATAAAGTACATGTTTTAGGCAAAAAGACAAAATAAAAGGTAGTGCTATCCCTGTAACAGGCCGTGGAGGCCCATAGGGTTGTGAGACGTCGAGGCTTCCACATTTTCTAGACAATCGGCTCACAGATGGCGGTGAGATTGTCAGCCGCTTCCGCCGCCCTTTACCCCCAGTAAGATTCCTAGTACTCATTTCTGTTAGAGGCTTAGTCGACCTCAGGGCCATAGTGCGGCTGGAAGGCTTATGTCAGGTGTAAAAATCCACCTTATCGGGAATGAAATCCGCGACCTTCCGGATTTTAGCATAGTGCCCCAACCTTACGTTACCGCGTGCCCCTTAATGTTTTACGCAGTGAGAGATGCAGGCTTGTCCTGAGACTGAAAGGCCGAGTATGCGAGTTACTGCGTGCGCAACTCGGGAGCGAGCTGAAGGATGGTTATTGGCAGCGAAACACGGAAAACCGTTCAAGTCTGTTGCAAATATTGTGGGCAGAATCCAAACGCTGTACCCTACTCTGCGTGAGTGACGTGTGGCATAGCAGTTGGGTCGCCCCTGACACTCCATGTCTGTGCCACCTCTTAACGTACTGATTGCCCCGTCTGTTTTCGTGTCGCGCCTTGTATCGACTGATATTGACTGAGGCCTTTTCTTTTCGTTTGGTAAGGCATTCAGTCTTGCACGGGAAAGCTTTTCCATGCTGTGTTATTTAGTGATCTCGCTTTCATGTATCTTGGGCAATGAATTTATGTGCAGGCATTCTCCCATTTATGTCGTGCTTCTGTTTTCCGAAGAAAAGTCGCAGAGTGAAAGCACATAAATCGAACATAATGTTTCCCTGTGCCATTGCATTCGTTCTTCGCAGACCCACGCAGTAATCTGCTAAGTCTTTCTCGGTTGGTCAGCACAGTTTGCACTAAAGTGAGCGCTGCTAATGCCAGTCGGTCTGAAGTAAATTGACGACATTAAAATTAAATCGCATTTTTCGAAATCATGCATGATGGGGAGCACTCAGATTTGAAATATTCCTTGATTTGTTTAACTGCCTCCGGGAAGCACCTGTTTCCTTATGTCATTTTGTGTAACTGAATATAAACATGCAGAGCCCTGCAAGGCGTGACCCTGTACGTTCGTAAGGTGTTTCCCCTTCCTGCCTGGCATATTTGCGGACTTCGAAGTCCCTTTAGTATTTGACGATTAATATCCCGAAAGCAACGCATCGAACGTGCAAATAATCAAACCGTTTTGTTAAGCACTCACTTTTGTTTTAACTTCTGTTAGTCTAACCAGCATTTGTTGATAAAAGTGCGCAACGCAAAATTTCTCATATGAACATATTGTCACGTGTATGAGTGACTATACGGGGCTTGGATTGGCAATTCGATTTATGGAATACTTACTGATCGTAACTATAGCGCTGTCGCTAATTCACACACCCAGCACTGCAGCGCACACTAAGTTTTCTGAGGCTGATGTATCTTCACCGGTTGTCGCCTGGTAACGGCTTCCAACGCCGTAGGTTCTTCAGCTGTGTTTACGTCCACTGGCCGGCGGTTGTCTTCCAACTAACAGAACTCCAGTGAGTGCCGAGGTCAAGAAATACGTCGATCTACGTCCACTCCATACGCCTTCATGGCATAGTGCCTAAGCACAGGGACAGCTTCACCTTCATATTATGACCATTAATTTGAATTAGTGGAAACATGTTGCGTAATATAAACATTTTTTTTTCTTTATTACGAATTACAGGAGCCTGATGACAATGTTAGGAATTTCATATTACGATGTTACTGTAATTATGACTAAATTTTGAGAAATGTCTTTTCTTTGTAACCG